CCAAGTAGGATCCATGCAGCTTATTTATAGTCACATATGTTAATGACTTTGAAAATGTAACCAATATGTTTAGAGTCTTCTGATTTTTGCTCCATTGCCAAATGCAGCTCTTGATCTTTTGCAAAATAACAAGGTGCAAGCAATCATTGGCTGGGAAACATCAAAACTTTTTGGTTGTGTTGGGTGAGAAAGCCAAATTGCCTATCCTTTCTTTTACTACAAGTCCTCCATCCTCCCATAAATATCCTTACTTTGTGCAAATTACACAAGATGAAACCACTCAATTTAAAGCTGTTGCTGCCATTGTACAATCATTTAAATGGAGGGATGTCATTTTTATTTACGAGGACACTGACCATGGGAAGGAAATGTTACCATATTTAGTTGAATCCTTCCAGAGAAAACATCCATATAGCTTATAGAAGTGCCATTTCTCCTTCGGCCCTTGATCATCAAATCCTTGAAGAGCTCCACAAGTAAAGGAGTAGGCGAACAACAATATTTATTGTGCATATGTCACCTTCTCTTGCATCTCGCCTCTTCTTGCAGGTGAAAAGGTTGGGAATGATGAGTGAGGGGTATACTTGGATTATGATGGAAACAACCATGAATCTCTTTCATTCCATGCATTTGGAAGTTATTGAGTCACTTGAAGGGGCATTGGGTTTGAAGTCTTACATTCCCTCATCAAGAGAGCTGCACAACTTTATTTAAAGGTGGAAAAATGAAGTGTGTACCAAGGACCCTACAATGGAAGTGAAGGATCTAAACGTGTATGGGCATATGATGCAATTTGGGCACTGGCAAAGGCTGTTGAGAGGGTAAGAGTTGAATCTCCACCTGCCAAGGATCAACAGAGATCATTTCTAAATGAGATATTGCAAACTAGATTTAGAGGTTTAAGTGGTCAGTTTCAAATTACGAATGGAAACTGATCTTGAAGTCATTTGAATTAGTGAATTTGATAGGCAAAAGGAAGAGAAGAGTTGGATATTGGACATAAGCAGATGGAATCACTAGAGTAATTTCCCCATTGGATGGTGGTCGTGAAGCCATTTTATGGCCAGGCGGATCTACAATTATTCCAAAAGGTTGGATGATGGCAATGCATGGCACGAAGCTCAGAATTGGTGTTCCAAGGAATTGTGGGTTCAAGGAGTTGGTTTATTGGGATCGTAAACCTCAAACCAATGAAACGAATTTCAATGGGTTCTGTATAGATGTATTCAAAGCTGCCATTGAAGCTTTGCCATTTGATGTACCTTATGAATTTATTCCTTTCGGGGGAACTTACAATGATCTAATATATCAGGTCTATCTACAGGTATGTCTATTTCTCAAAATGTAGAAACAGTTACACCTTACATAGATGTTTTTCTTATTTTCTTATGTACACACACACAAGCACAAATATACACATATTTATATGTACAATTGTAAACCTGTCTACCACAGGTACACCTTGCATAGATGTTTTTCTTATTTTCTTATGTACACACACACAAATAGACACATATTTATATGTCTAGAATTGTAAAACTGTCTACTAGCAGTAACCCGGACAAAGCACAGAATTTGTAATAATTTCACCCCTCATACTTTATTCGCGCATCCAAACAGTTCTTACAATCAAACATTCCTTATCCTTCAGTTTAGATTGGCATAAAATACACACACAAGCATAAATAGATACATATATATATATGTCTACAACTGTATATCTATCTATGGGGTCACGTTTTGAATCTCAATATCATCGCATTTCAACTGTGACATAGAAATCCCCTTAATTTTCTTTGGGAGAATCTATATTTTTGAGGAAGTGAGAGACTGGCCCTGATTGATACCTCGGTGTCTTCACAAATTATAGGAAGATTACTCGTATTTTAGAAATTATGTAAAAACTCCAAGTTTTTATCAGCAAAATATCCCTCTGACTATTTATGTGGAGATCCCTTAACATTGAACCACTGATATACAATTATCTAATTTTTGTTGTTTTAGCAATATCAATCTCCCTAAGATCAAATTTGTAATATTTATTGCATACACATTACGTGTCTCAAGATTCTAGTGTATCCAAATAAAGATTTTATTTAACTGTTTTTTGCGTTGTGGATGGAGCAGAATTACGATGCTGCTGTGGGAGATATCACACCTACGGCCAATAGATCTCTGTTAAGTTTGGAGGATTAACATAATATTAGAGACAAAGAGAGAGGTTAAAAAATTTAACCTAGCTCTTATACATCTATTTATTTATAGTTGATCTACAATAATAAGAATTACACATACACCTTTTTATTATTAACAATTTACACATACTACCCTACTATTCTTAACACTCTCCCTTAAGCTGGACTATATATATTATATAATTAAAGCTTGGAACAAATAGCTGTAAGATGTGTACAACTCAATACTTTGGTAAACATATCTGCAAGCAGATTTTCAGATTTCACAAATAAAATTGTAATCTTCCCGACTACTATCTTGTTCCGAGTAAAGTGACAATCAACCTTAATATGCTTGGTTCTCTCATGAAACACTAGATTAACAGCGATATGGATAGCTGTCTGGTTGTCACAGAACAACTGTAAAAGAAATTGAATTAGAAACCCAATTTTCTGGAGGAATTGTAGTAGCCACGTCAACTCACTCGTCGTATGTGTCATTGCCCTATACTCAGCCTCAGAATTGGATCTTGCTACCACGTGTTATTTCTTACTGTTCCATAAGACAACATTACCTCCTAAGAAAGTACAATAACCAGTGGTTGATCTCCAATCAGAAGGAGAGTCAGCCCAATCAGCATCTGAAAAATCTTCCACTCTAAGATCTTCATTAGCTAGATATAACAGTCCAAGTTTAGGAGTTCGTTTGAGATATTGCAGTATACGAGTAACTGCCTCCCAATGTGGTACTCTAGGACATCCCATAAACTGACTTACTATACTGACTGCATAGGAAATATCTAGTCGAGCAATAATGAGATAATTAAGCTTCCCAACTAATCTACGATACTGATCCGGATTCTCAAACAATACATCATCATCCATCAATAATTTCTGATTCAGATCCATATGAATATCAATCGGTCTACCACCTAGCAATCCTACTTCCTCAAGCATGTCAAGTACATATTTCCTCTGAGATAAACAAATACCCTGTTTAGATCGAGCCATTTTAATACCCAAGAAATACCTGAGTTTTCTCAAATCCTTAGTATGAAATCGATCTTGTAAGAATATTTTTAATTTGGTAATCCCCTTAGAATCATTTCCAGTAATCACAATATCATCTACATAGACCACCAATAGGACATATCTAGCATCTGTCTGTCTATGAAACACAGAATGATATGTCTGATATCAGAAAAGACCAAATTCTAAAACTACATCTGAAAACTTACCAAACCATGCTCTCGGTGACTGCTTCAAATCATACAAAAAAATTTTTAACGACATACACTCTTACCATACTCCCCCTGAGCAGTAAACCCAGGTGGCTGCTCCATGTATACCTCTTCAACCAAGTCACCATATAAGAAGGCATTCTTGATGTCTAACTAAAACAAGGGTCAATCAAGATTAGCAGCCAAAGAAATCAAGATACGAACAGAGAAAATTTTGGCAACAAGAGAAAAAGTTTCCTCATAATCAACACCATAAGTCTGAGTAAAGCCCTTTGCAACAAGTCGGGCTTTGAGACGCTCCACAGAACCATCTGGATGATATTTAACAGTATACACCCAACGACAGTCAACAGTTCATTTACCAGAGGGTAAAGGAACGAGATCCCAAGTCTCATTATGATGTAAAGCATCCATCTCCTCCTCCATAGCTTTTTTTCAACCTGGATCAGATAATGCATCCTGTAAATGCTTATGAATAGATATAGCAGATAATTGAGAAGTAAAACAAGAGAAGACAGGAGATAAGACATCATATGAAACAAAATGATAAATGGGATGATTAGTAACACACGAACGAGTACTTTGCGAAGCAATAGGTAAAGATTCTAAATTACTTGATGTACCAGGATTTGAAGGCGACAAGGAAAACTGTACGGGCACCTCAGTCGATGGGCGAGGACGGCGAGAGTAGACACAGAGAGGTAAAGTAGATGGTAACACAGTGGGAAGCGAAATATCTAAAGGTGAAGAAAGAAATGGTGGTACAGGAGATGATCCAAAGTCTAGATCCAAAGACTGAGAAGGTGCTGGAAAGTATGGAACAGACTCTTCAAATGTGACATCGGCTCTAGTAAAGTATCGGTGCAGGGAAGGACTATAGCAACGATATCCTTTCTGTGTGCGAGAGTAACCAAAAAATACACATTTGGTTGCTCGAGGGTCAAGTTTGCCAAATCCAAGACCCAAATTGTGAACATAACAGACACAACCAAAAATCTTAGGAGTCAAGAAAAATAAGGGCTTACCGGAAAAAAGGACAGAATATGGACGTTGCCCATTTAACACAGATGATGACATACGATTAATAAGATGATAAGCAGTAAGAACAACATCACTCCAATAATATCGGGGAATATTCATCTGGAATAACAGGGCACGAGTGACTACAAATGACAGTCCTTGCGTTCAGCAACACCATTTTGTGGAGATGTGTAAGCACAAGAAATCTGATGAATAATACCAGTTTTACTAAGATACGTTGAAAAGAGATCAGATTCATATTCTCAAGCATTATCTGAACGTAAAGTACATATACGACAACCAAACTTAATTTTTATTTCTTTACGAAAAGTCTCAAAGATAGAGAATAATTCAGACCGAGCTTTCATCAAAAATAATCAAGTCACACAAGAATAGTCATCCACAAATGTCACAAAATAAGAATATTTATTAGATGAAATATTCTTTATTGGACCTCATACATCATAATGGACTAATTCAAATGGACTAGACACACGTTTATTGATTCTAGACTGAAATGACACACGGTGATGCTTACTAAGTTGACAAGTTTCACAAGATAAAGATGACACATAACAAAGACAAGGAACTTGGCGCTTCAGATTCTGTAGAGATGGATGTCCAAGACGATAATACCATTGAAAAGGAGACAACGAGGTTTGTAAAGATCGGGTAGGTGAATTAAAGTCAAGGTAATATAGACCATCAGCTTGATGCCCCGTACCAATCTTCATTTTCGTTTTGAGATCCTAAAAGACACAATAAGAGAGATAAAAGGTTACAGAATAATTGAGAGAACGAGTAATCTTGCTAATGAAAAGTAAACTAAAAGGAAACTAAGGAACAAATAACACAAAAGATAGGGACATATCAGGACTCAAGTGAGTAGTCCCCAGACCCGAAACCTTAGAACAAGTATCATTAGCAAGAGTAATACTACGTGTAGAAGTAGTAGACTGATAAGTAGAAAAAATATCAGACGCACCAGTCATGTGGTCAGAAGCTCCAGAGTCTATGATCCAGGGATTGCGAGTGGAAGACAATAAACAAGTGGAGGCAGTACCTGACTGGGCAAAAGTAACAATGGAGGGAGATGGAATAGCTTGTTGATGGGACAAAAACTAAGCATACTCCTCTCGTGTAAGAGTAACTGATACAGAATCAGGTGGAGTAGACCGAGGTATAGCGACAAGAGTCGGGGTGTCATCCGAATAAGACACCTGATTAGCAACACCCGAAGGCTTGCCATGTAAATCCCAGTAGTAATCAAAAGTATGGCCTCCACAACCACAATGAGAGCATAAACGAGACCCTAGATGCCATCCACGGCCTCCCCAACAGCCGCGACCACCACGGTTACCACGGCCACCTCGGGAACTGTCACCATGGCTACTCGGGACAACAAAAGTTGAACAATCAACAAGCACACTAGACGCTGTGTTGGATGAACCGGTAGAGAAGGTAGCACGCTGCAGGCAGAAGAAAACCTCTAGTAAGGATGGAAGACTAGAACCGCCCAAAATCTGAGACAGAATAGACTCGTACTCAAGTTTCAAATCAACTAAAAATCGAACAACATTCAAATCCTCATGTTTCTTCTACCAAACCGCTGCATCAGTAGTAAAGGGGTGATAGAGCTTCAACTCCTCATACACTCCCCGAACATGAGAGTAATAGTCCTCAAGACTCAGAATACTTTGCTCCAGATGAAAATATTGTTTGCATACTTCATATGCACGAGTGAAATTCCCAGTGCCAGAATACATGGTGGCCAAGTGATCCCAGATCTCTTTAGTCGTGTCAAGATAAAGCAAAGTAGAACTGATACTGGGGTCAATACTATTCAATAACAGTGAAATAATCTGAGCATCTTCTTTTTCCCACTTATCATACCTAGGAGTACCTTCCTTGGGTTTAGTATCCATTAAATATTTCTTAAAGCCTTTACCTCTAAGAAACACTTGAACAAATTGTGACCACAAAACATAATTGATCTCATTGAGTTTAACAGATGTCAGGGGACCATTAAGTAGAACCGTAGGAGAAAAATTTGGTGACGTGGATGAAATAAGATCAACCTGACTATCATCATTTTTATTCTTGGGTTCCATAATAATATAGCAAATATTAGAAGCAAACAAAACTACTCAAGACTGCTGGAGTGATAAACCTGACGAAAAGAAGAGCTGGAATACTGAATCGTACTGGAAAAAATGAAATGGACCACTGAATCGGGCTTGAAAAGTGGACTAGACCACTAAACCGGGCTGAAAAAGTGGACTGGACCACTGAACCGGGCTGAAATAGTGGACTGGACCACTGAACTAGCTTGAAAAACCGGACTGGACCACTGAATCGACCTGGAAAACCGGACTTGACCACTGAACCGGGATGAAAATCGGGCTACTAGAACTCTCTGGACATTTGAACCGAACCGGCTAGGCACTTTAAATTGCTGAACCGGACTGGCTAGGCACTTTAAACTGCTGAACCGGCCTGAACCGTGGTTCGGTCTAAGCTGAACCGTGGGCTGGACCGGGTTTGGACTTAAAATTTAAGTCCTGGGCTTGACTTGACCCGATTTGATCTAGACCTCGTTGGATCCTTTCTTCTTCCTCGCTGGTTATAGATAGCAACCCTCTGGTCTGCGACAACAGTACACACCACAAGCCGACTTCAATCGCAAGACCACCACAGCCACTACCACGAACGAACACTACAACCACTACCACGACCGATGAACAGAATAACAGAAGCCACAACAACAGTACAACGCCACAAGCTGACATCAATAGCAAGACCACCACAGCCACCACCACCACCACAAGTGATCACGCCACCACACTACCACCAACACGAACGACGCAAGTGGGCGATGAACAGAGACCACAGCCACCACAACCACACCACTACAGTACTACAGTGTTAATATATTTTGGATCGTTTACGCTCTGATACCATGTTAAGTTTGGAGGATTAATATAATATTAGAGACAAAGAGAGAGGTTAAAAAACTTAACCTAACTCTCAGACATCTTTGTATTTATAGTTGACCTACAATAATAAGAATTACACATACACCTTCTTACTATTAATAATTTACACATACTACCCTACTATTCTTAACAATCTCTAAATGTTGATTTTACATTGCCTTACTCCGATTTAGGTGTTGGAACTATAGCACGTAAACCTATGGACAACAAAAACATGTGGATCTTGTTGAGGCCGCTTGATTCAAATCTGTGGCTAACAAGTGCAGCTTTCTTTGTTTTAACGGGCTTTGTTGTTTGGGTTATTGAATATCCTATAAATGAAGAATTCCAAGGTTCACCAGCTCAGCAAATTGGAACCGTCTTGTGGTTCTCTTTTTCAACCCTTGTTTTTGCTCATAGTAAGCTCTCTCTATCTATCTATATGTGCGCGCACACAAACACACAATATTTGGTTGTGTTCCGATTTCTTGGCCTAGAGAGGTTTTGATGTAGACCACAAGCTGCTGCAGCAAGACCACCAAACCACTCAGAACAACATTTAGCAAGTCGAAGCCACACGAGTGCCACCAGATTATAGAGCAGTCCTCCACCGAATTAGAGGGCAAAGACCCTGGGGACCAAAAGGCACTACTTATCCCTCATTTCATCCCCACACGATTCTTTGTATTGCTTGCATATAAGGATCTGTATATGTTTTCTATATATATATATATAGGCAAACACTCTAATGAGCTAACAATGGTGTTTGGCACTGCAGGAGAAAAATTGTTGAGTAACTTGTCTAAATTTGTTGTGATCATTTGGGTCTTCTTGGTGCTCATACTGACTTCGAGTTAAACTGCAACTCTGAGTTCACTCTTGACGCTTCAACAAATTCAATTATCATCAATGAGGGATCAAGTAGGGTACCAGTATGGCTCTTTTGTGCAAGGAGTTACTGTTAGCAACTTGAATTTCTCTGACAATATGGCTCAACAATAGTTTTCACCGGAGGAATACGCCAATGCTTTGTCATAAGGAAATAAGAGTGGTGGTGTTGCTGCCATTGTTGATGAAATGCCGTACATCAAAGTCTTTCTTGCCATAGTTGATCATGATATATTCGAATTTATGTAAACCACATTAAGTCTTAATCTACTAATTTTATGTCGAGATCATGTGATATTGACATGTTTGCGAAAATGCTATCCATATATAATATGAATAAGTAGATTTAGCCTCTTAGTTGATTTCTTATGAATCTTCTATGCAGATGTTCCGAAAAGGTTCACCTTTGGTCCCTGAGATTTCAAGGGCAATTGTATATTGCTAAGAGACGACAGGATACTAGAGAGGATAGATATTTTAATTCACCATTATCTTTTATATCCGAGTCCCAGAGCCCTGAGACCAAACCCACCATTCTGAACCTTGGTAGTTTTGGTGGTTTATTTCTTATAAGTGGGATGTCTTCAGCTTTAGCCCTTCTCATATATTTAGTTTTCTTTCTTAGAGAAAAGTTTAGTATCAGATATATTCTAGCTCAAGAGAAACTTGTGTACATGATGAGGAATCTCTTCACTAGAAATGCAATATAATCAATGTGAACCACTTAAATATTTGATCCTTTCATTGCATCATGGACAGGGTTTCACAACATTTTTGTCTTGGTTCGTAATTTTTGTCATTTTTGGACTCACTCTTTTTGTATCAATTATATTTTACCCCTTCTTATAAATATTCCAGACTCCCGCTCCTGAATGAGACTATATCTATATAATAAAATAGTTTATAATTTAAATTTTAAAAGATAAATAAAATAATTTTTATTTTTTGCGGTTCAAATTACTTTAAATTTTATTTTAAAGTTAATCTAATGGTCAATATTAACACCTTAAATTTAATATAAAAAATAAACTCCTAAGAGTGTCTTTGAAATAACTTTTTAAAAGTATTTATAGGAATTATTTCTCCTAAATACTTTAAAAAAAAAAATTAATGTTTGAAATTGCTCCACCACTACATCTATCACCACTGTCGTCACTACCATTGTCACCATCACCGCCACCACCACCACAGTCATCGTCATTGTAGTCGTCGCCACCACTGACACCACAATCATTGTCACCTACCACAAGTATTACTATCTCCAACCACCACAACTGCCGCCCACCACTTTTTACCTCCACTACAATCGATATTTAAATTCATTTATATATCTTTTATGTTTTTGAATCAAATATATTTATTGTTTATCATTTTTTATTACTCTGTATCTTTAGGCACAGATAATAACTAGTTATTTGATATATTATCACAATAAAATTAATTAAAATTTTAAATCCCAATAACATTACTATATTATTTGATATATCATCACAAAGAAATTAATTAATTTTTTAAATTCCAGCACCATTACTTGGTAAGTTGTGACATGCAAAAGTATACAAACACAGTTACATTGTATCTGCCGGAGAAGAGGAGAAGAGGAGACTTCGGAGGAGACTAACAAGACCCAAAAAATAATTATTTTGAATTATCATAAAAAAATATGGGGCCCCTTCTCAAAATGAGGCCCTAAGCCACCGACAAAGTTGCCTTGCACACTGTTGGTGGCGATGGAGGAGTTGGAACGGTGTGGGGAATGAAAAGTCATTTTTGTCTTTAGGTAACAGGGAATGAAAAGAAATGGCAATGGGGGTAAGATATTTATACTATCACGTTATTTGTTACTACGTTGTAGTATCACGGTAATGAATATTTTATCTCCTATCGCCGTCCTTCAGTTTCTTTCATTTTGCTGTCCCTCTCACATCCACTCATTTTGATCCTCTAGTTATCCAAAAACAAACCTAAGCAAGCTAAGCCACAATATAATAAGTGCATACTTCTCAAACAAATGCAGCAAAATAAACAGCAACCCATATATGCTATAACTCTCTCTCTCTCTCTCTCTCTCCCTCCATTGGAGAAGCCCGACAACCAATAAAGAAACATAGACATTTTCAATCATGGAAGAGTAACCCCCCTCTCTCTCTCTCTCTCTCTCTCTCTCTCTCTCTCTCTCTCTCTCTCTATGTATATATATATATATACTGTGTGTGTGTGTGTGTGTCTTTTGAAACAGCCATTGTTGGCCGTTGCGATAAAAACAGGGTGAGTGCCCATTGTCTGAATTTCTTGAAATATCAATTACTTTACAGGTCAGATTTACCAGGATCACACCCAAATGAACAAAACCAGCAACCAACAAGAACACCTAAGTTGTGGTTCTCCTCCTCCACTAGCGTCCACGTTACAGCACTAGACGGCATAGTGAACGTCAACGCCCTCTTCACCGTCGCCGTCTTCATCGGACTCAGTCTCACCCCAAATTCATCAGACCAAAACAGACAAAGCAACAACAACAAATCACCGTGCATTCCTGACAATGAAGCGGCCAGGAATCTTGTCGTCTATGATGTCGTCTCCTTCAGCTTCTTCCTCTTCTCATCTGTCATCGCTCAGGGTCTCAAGCTCACCATCAACATATTGAACAGCAACGAGGTTGAAGAGCACGTTAAGGCTAACATTAACCTCGGACTACTCAAGGTTGGGATGTTGAGCGCGGCGATTGGGTCGGTGATGGGGTGCTTGTTCTTGATGCTTGCAATGGTTAGTATCATCGAGATCAAGTTAGGGTCATTCTCTTGCGGTGGCAAGACGGTTTATTCGGTGGCGACGTTGATTACATTGGTGGCCATTTCACTTTCTGCATATATATCCACCGCTGTATATGCTTTTATCAATTGATGATCAAGTGATCAATCATTTATGTATTAAGATTTTATCTGTTAGCAATAACATCATAAGAATAGTGCAACCAAAATTCGATTACATCGTTTCTATGAACTTCACGTCTCATTTTGCCGACCAACAACTGGCTAAGGTATGGTGTGTTGGGTATGGTGGATTCAAAGATAGAATGACGTAGATTTTGAATGACATACTTTTTTTCTTTTGGGGGTGTATTAGTTTGATGGTATTAGGAAGGATTAAGGGCTGGGATCGGATATAAATAACAATAAGGCCCAATTATTCTGTGTTTTGTTAAAAAAAAAAAAAAATTAATTGTCGGATAATAAATTCGGACTTTTCCTGACCCGTTTCCTACTGTTGCTAATAATTAGGGGTATCAATTTTTGGTACGAAAACCAAATACAAAATTAATTAGTGTGTAAAAACAGGTCAGCACATTTAAGCACAAAAAAGTAAAAGTGATCAAATTTTAAAACTAAATTTAAAGTTCAAATAAAATAACAATATATTATTTGGAGTTTTTATTAGTGTCTAAATGACATAACACCAAATAAAAAAGTTCAAGTCAGCTGTCATGTTATTTAGGCTCTAAATTTAATCTCAAAATTTAGTCAGTTTAGGATTACTCAAAAAATATTATGTTAGGTTCATGTCAAAATCGGGTCAACTTGATTTTAACCTGACTAACCCCGTATATTTTAAACAGATTGACATAATTCGGACACGAATCCGACATAACTCATTATAGACCCGTTTATGACAGTATAATTTACCTATTATTTATAGCTGATGTAGACTTAATATTATTACTTATTAGTTATTACTTCTATCATGGTAATTAACAGTATAATTTTTAACATTATTATGACATTATAATAGTATAGTTCTTTTTTTAATTTTTGGATTAAAACTTGAATGCATTTTATTTAATTTAATTGATGAGATGTGATATGTTATTAGTTAAAAAATTATTTAAAATTTTGGATGAATGATTAAATGGTGTATTAATAATAATGAACAAGTTATGTGTGTTAAACCAATTAAACATGTCATGTTATATGTGTGAACTTGAAAATAACCTGTTTATTAAACATGTCAAGTTCGAGTAACCTATTTAATAGTTAAGTCAGGTTAGTGTTTATACATCTCAACACAATTATTAAACATGTCAGATTTATATTTTAGAATATTCGACATAAACTCGAAACGATCTATCCCGACATATTTAACACCTTTACTAATAATCACTGTAAGTGGGTTTTTTTTTAATTCAACGGGAAGGTGGGATACAAAATGGCAGAAATTGCCACCGACAGGTCAAGGAACCGAAATTATTTTATTTTTTTGGTTGAACCTCGACGAATCCGAAATTAATTGAATGGCCCTGCATTTTACCAACAAAAATAAATGCATTGAATTAATATTGGGAGTACGATGGTAAAATCGACAAAAGAATAGTCAACAAGTAATTCATCAAATCAATCGGGCCACATCTCACATCCTTCGTATCTAGACAATGGACGGGCCAGCCAAAAGATATTCCTTGAACAAATATCTTAGCTTATCAATAACTAACATATGTTAAATGAAAAATGAAATTAGCGTCGTTTAGTGTTAATTGGAAATAGAGAGAGAGAGAGAGAGAGAGAGAGAGAGATTTGATTCGTACGTTTTCATTTTTTTCCTTGTACATGATTTTGTTAAACATAAAATTTCTTATTAGGCTTAAGTTTTATAAAGTTATTTTGGTATGACTATAATATTATGGATTTAAAGTTTAGATCTCTATATCATGGAACCATGAAATATGAAATTTCATGGGTAAATTGTAAAAAGGTATACCAAATTAGATTTATTTGACAAAAAATATACGATTATTAAGTACTTAATTTTGATACTTATTTGTATCCAAGTACATAATTTGAATTTATCTATTTTTATTATGACATTTTTGTCCTCCATTAATCCATGTGCATTTAATGCACCATTTTTCTTTGGAAAATGGTGCATTAAACATCTCTTAATTTTATGGGAGAACTTTAATACATATATATACATGAATACAAATTTTGAAATTCAAACAAGTATATATATACGTTTTTATATATACATAAATACATATATATATATATATACTTATTTATCTATGTATGTATATACTTGTTATTAAATCTCCTATCTAAATTTTGAATTATCTTTTAATGCACCTTGATTCATGCATTTTTTTTTAGAAAGTGGTTTTATTTTTTAATTAATTTAATATTCGAATAGTGTAACAATAACAGTGTAACAATATAAAGTGTAACAGTGTAAAAATAACAGTGTCACAATAAAAGTGTAATAGTGTAACACTAACAATGTAACAGTATAACAATAATAGTGTAACAACCTATTTACACAAAATATTATACTATTACATTTTGTCAAACGTATAGTTTCATATAATTTCATTCAAAATAGTCTATCTCCGTTTTGAATTTGTTACCATATATACAAAATTACTGAACACTGTTTTTGTTACAGTGTATTTGTTACACTGTTATTATTATACTATTACATTATTCGGATATTAAATTAATTTGAAAATAAAACTATTTTCCAAAAAAAATAAAAATTGCTTGAATCAAAGTGCACTAAATATGATTTGAAAACAAAATCACTTTTCAAAAAAAAAAATACGCATGAATCAAGGTGTATTAAAGATAATTCAAAATTTAAATAAAAAATTTACCAACAAATATATATATATATATATATATATATATATATATATATATATATACATGTATTAACAAATACACATGAATCAAATGTGTATTAAATACATATTTATATGTATTAACAAACACACATGAATCAAGGTCCATTAAAGATAAGAGATTTTGAATTAAATGATCCTAAAATGAGTATTTATGTCTTTTTAATTCACATTTTGTTGTATGTATTTTTTGTCAAATAAGTCTAATTAGGTGTACCGACTTTTAAAAAACCCAAATTTCATTTATAGGTGGTCTAAAGTCTACGTTTTTTTATTTTTCCTATTGGGCCTGCCCTGAGTGGAAACAACTGAAGCCAGACTAAGCCAAACCAAGCTTATGGTTAAAACAGTTCTACATCATATGGCGTCTACCGTTTTCATATACACATGGGCTAGACTTTGCTATCTCTTGATTAAAAAGTCGTAACAAGCTGCTACAGTGATTACTGCAGCGGTCCTTACCCTCAAAGATGGCGGAAAAAGGAAGACATAGCGCGAGATTAGTGTTTTCGGTCACTGAACTTACAACAAACATCCATCATAATTAAAGATGTCAAAATATAACACAATCCGAAATTAGAAGATTTTGGTCTTTTTCAAACTGAAATCTAAACCGAAGTCTCTGCTCCACTTGTTAAACTAAACTGAAATCTATCCTCTAGCTGCATTCGCCCTTTGGGATTCACTGAATTCATTGGAAAGATGAAGTCTCAGACTCTCAAAACAACCAAATCAACATTTTACTTCTTATATGAGTTAAAGACCACAAAGACGAGCTTAAAACATGTCAATAAAGTTGAACCTATCTTACTTTACAAGTTCAGAAAATTCATCTCAACCTACAAAACATTTACAGTCCGGAAAAAAGAAATTGACGAAACGAAGAAGGTGTACAATGGCAAAGTCCAATAGACCAACTAATGAGCCTGTTAGTGATGTGAGACGATTACTCTCTTTGATTCTATTTCTTTCACGCTTTGAACTATATCATCAATGTTTCTTGACAGTTGATTGGAGTGTTCTTCCATATCCTTCAGAACCATATCAAGCTGTTCTTGAATAGCTGCAGATCGTTTTCGCTCTCGCTGTAACTCAGCTGTCAACTCCCGAATCTTTACATCTTTATCATCCTGAAATAATCCGAAATAAAAAGATGCTGGATGAAATATATAGTTGTAGACATAAAAAAAGATGATGGAAAAAATATTGCGAAAAAACCCTATCTTTCTACAATGAGTATGACAAAAAGCTAGTGAGAATATGAATGCACATTCTACATGACTCTGCAAATTGCACCAAAAGGATCACGGTTGTTGAAAGTATATGTGATGAACCCGATTCTCTACTTGTACTTAGTAGCCTTTCAGCAGAGCAAGGCTTTTCCTTTTCCTTTCCTTTCGTTTTCATTTTTATTTCTTCCTCTTCTACTTTTTTTAAGCTGGAAGGAAACAGCGGAGCAAAGTTGATATTATTTATGCTTACAACCAAGTCATAGACACCATTTTAGTATGTTATATGCAGAATATATTTTGAGATCATAGGAGCCCTCAACAATTAGATTGTAACTGAAACACAATCTGGAAAAGCAAAGAAATGAGCATAATACATAAATTTAGTTTTCCCTTCAAGTTAGAAGTACAGAAATGAACATTGTTGTATCTCAAGCACTTACCGGTGTTTGAGATAGGAGCACAGTGCGACGGCTGTTGGCAGGTGCAACAACCAACGGATGATTGTGTTCCATAACACATCTTGTAACGATCCACTTTCCACTCTTCTCTTTCTTCACAACAATCATTGCTTTACACCCTTCCCTCGTAATTGCTCTGGGCTTCCTGTTTTCACTCCGTTTCGGTCTGCATTTGCGGAAACCTTCTTTATTACACACAAGTCGACGCCAAACCACCTTCCCATCACGCATTGATCGCCGAAATGCATCCACTCGCATGACGAACCCCAAGCGCGTGGCATATGCATCATAGAAGACCTTGGCAGCCTCTTCTGATTCAAACTCCATACCCACATGTGGTTCCATATCCAAATTTCCTCCATTTGTAACTAGCTCTTTCCCATTCGAACTCTCTGTCATCTCCGCATCGTGATGTACAGATGGGTCTTCATCCACTGTGGCATAACATCACACTCTGTAAGATTACACGTTTAAACATGATGCAACCAACCTTCCACCCCAGTTAGCCAAGCTTATGTCATGAAACCTCATTTAATTTACAATAAAAGTGAATAGTTTGACAAAATTAGTCAATAAACCTCATATTTTGTGAATGAATGCGAGATGCGTCAACTCATGGAAGCTTATTATTATCGATGCCAGCACTAAACTTGTCCGACAAAACCAATCATTCATTCCAGACAGCTCAATTGGTTTCGACCAAATTATAAGTATCACTTTATCCATTTCCTTTTTCAATTAGAACAGAGAACACAATAAACCCTAGAGCCAGAAAATTTTGAGAAAACTCTAAGGTAACTAGTTTTCCACAGAATCAGACAAAGCTAGAGCTATTTCTACACATAAAAATTCAGCAAAACAGAGGTAAATGCTAAAGAGTTAACATTCGAAAAGCAAGTTTTGGATTCGGGTGTAACACTATCCAGAAGCCAATCCTTGTAATGATGAAAATCAACTCACTCTAATTCAATTTAGGGGACCTAATGATGAATTTTTTTTTTTCCCTTTCTTTTGTGAATTCCCAACAACCAAACAGTTTTGATGAAAAATGTTAAAACCAACCAGCCGGATATCTAGGTTTTTACATTCCCCGGAACATGGTGGAAGTCAGAATATAGATCAAGAGTCATAATATCCACTGCTTGATCACAAAATCGAATACAATTATGCGATTAACATCTATAACACAACGGAAATGCAAGACTTACTAGATTCGGAGATCCAAGTCCCACTCAATTTCTATAGAGCCTCGTGCTTCGTCCGTTGGAGAGAGAGAGAGAGAGAGAGAGGAGGTTTTGAAGTGTTTGGAGTGCGATGCAATTACAAATGAGCTCAAGAAGCAAACGCGAGTCTCTTCTGCAATTTAAGGTAAGCATTGATGCGCATTCACAATTTCCCCTTTCTTGAGTTTTCCTTTCCGTTTTCAAGTAACTATTTTCACTTGCCATAATTGGTATCAAAATTCAATACCACTCCATTATGCCAAATACAAAGTTTGGTGGGTGCTATTTTCACCTTTTAAAATTTTTTTTTCATTTTATTTCAAACTATTAAATTCATTATTTTTATACTCACTCCGTTAGCTACTAAATCCTTCACTAATTAAAAGTTACTCCCTCCGTTCCTAAATATTTATCGTTTAAAATTGTTACACAGGGATTAAGGAAACTATTAAATAAATCTAATATGAGTAAAAAATAATTGTATAAGACTACCATATTCTTATTCAATACGTATTGGGAATGAAAGAAATATGAAAAACACTTATGGTCCGTTTAGTACGAATGATGAAAAGTAGTAAGAAAGGAAAAGTGGAAGGAATAAACTTTTCTTCCATGAAGGAAAGAAAGTTATTTTTCCTCCTTTTTGTTTATTAGGAGGGATGAAAAATAGAAGGAATATATTTTCATCGTTTAGTATTAGATGAAAAATTAACGAAAAGGAAAATCATACATACCCAATTTTATAATTCTACCCTTTAAATATATAAAGTCATTTTGTGTGTTGGTAAAAAAATAATTAGCAAAAGAAAAAAGGGCAAAAAAGAAAAATTATCATTCAAAGGTCAAATTTTGTTTGCTTCTCCTCATTTTTTTTTGGGGGGGGGGGGGGAATAAATTGTGGGCAAGAAGGAAAAACCTTCCCTCTAATTTTTCTTTCCATCACTCTTTCTTTCCATATCAAATAATGAAAAGTTTTTTCATCCACCCCATTTTCCTTCTCTCATTTTCCATCCACATCAAAACAAACAGACCATTTGCATTCACCTAATCTAATGTATTGAAAAGTTAAGGATAAATTTAAAAGAAAAAATATTAATTATATTTTAATTTCATTAAACGACAGATATTATGGAATAAAAAAAATTGTGTAAAACGATAGATATTTAGAAACGGGGGGAGTAAATTTATTTTATTTTATTTTAACCTAATATATATAGGCGATGATCAAATTTTCGTTTTGATGTATTATTTTGGTATGAAAATATTTCAGAAGTAGAGTAAAAATTAATAATTTTTTTTAAATATTAGTTAAAGTATGCTAAAATATCTTAAACCACTTCAAAATATTCTAAAGGCATAGGTGAAAATATATCAAAAAATTTTAAAATACCTTGAAATAATATAGATTATCTCGAAACAGTAAAATTTCACTACAATTACTAATTTGGTTTATGTTTCTTTGAGATAAATTTAATAGTATAAATGGAATGAACTTAGTAATTAATGAAGTGAGTATAAATGGAATGAATTTAGTAGTTTGAAGTAAGATGATTAAATTGGGTAGAAATAGAGATTTAAGGGGTTGAAATAGCTCCACCCTTTTTATAGTTAGAAGGTTTGAGTCTTCTTCAAGCTATATGTTTCGTAAATGAGTGAATTCGATGAGACATGTTGAATAAACAAATCTAGTATGAATGAAACTAATTAAAAGAAATACATGACACATTTCATTTATATACTGATTATACACAACACGAATTCGATATGACATAACTCATTAGATACAAATTAATAAATGAGTCGAATATAAATAATGTACTTTTTTGATACAAACTTATTAAGACACGAGATGCACCCATTTTTCACCTGACATGTTTTTCATAGGCCTTTTTTTCTAAAAAAAAATAATTTCTTTTTAAGGATATTAAAATTCATACTCGATTTTATAAACCTTTTTACTTAGCTCCCCGCAAAATTGTTGTAAATGTTTTGGCTTCCATAAAGGTTTATATAATTTTTAATAACATAATGATGTTGGCTTAACAATTTCATGTTAATAAAGCTCAATGGTGAAGAAAAGGATATTCATAGGTGGGGAGTTATTGGTGTCAATCTTGTTGTTTTATTTTCGATTTGTATTATATTCTTGTTAGTAAAAAATTATTTAATTTTAAATCAACTCATATAATATATGTAAAGAAATATGTGGGGAAAAAAATTAAAATATATATTTTTACTTACAATATAAGTTAATTGCATTATTTGTCTTTAATTTTAATTTAATTAATTTATTATTCATATTAATTGGTCATATCATTTTTAGATTTCATACTGTGTTGAGCTATCTATTTTGATCAAAAGTTAGACAACACAACTAATACAGTAATACACTTTCTAATTCTAAATAATCTTATTAACTCACACCTATCTTTTTATTCTCTCTTCCCACTTCTCTCTCATTTTTTCTTTGTTCACTTTAATTTTAAATAATATAATTAAAAATAATTTTTTATTTAAAATATAAATATTATATAATTAATATTTAATTTTTTTATATTATAGAGTATCTTCGGTCCCGGACATTAGAGTTGTTTGTCGAAGAGTCCTAGTCGAGTTTGAGCCGAACTTGAAAATTTTGTTTCTTAATCAAACTTAAAAGTTTATTCAAGTTCGGCTCGATTAAGCGTAAAAGAACCAAAATTAAGTTGAATCCGAGTTGAACTTTAGTATTTGCACGTAAAAGAGTCGAGTTTGTCAAGTTTATGTCGAGCTTGTAGGACTTATTTTTTAAATGAGTCTAAAAATTTGTTCAAGTTTAGACTCGTTTAAAAAATAAATCGAGCCTGAGCAAGTAGAACCCAAGCCAAATTCAAATCAAGATCGACTAATCCAGTTTGATTAATAGGAGACGTTAGTAGTATTTCACTATTAATGCAATAATCACTATGAATTATTCGAGCGAAACCGAAAGAAGCCGTACTCGAGCGGCTGCACGTAGCTGATTAATGAAGGGATTTAAAGGCTGAAGCCATTTCTTTTGACCTCCAGCGCCAAAACCCTTGGCCAGTTCCCCTGAGTTGTAGAAATTAGGGTTTTGAAATTGGGGATTTGATCTCCTGATTGATTCTTAGTGAGTATACAGTACACATCCTTCTTACTCTCATATGCTCAGATTAAGATTCCTTTCAAAATTTTCTCATGCCTTTCGCTTTCTAACTCTCTGTCAACGCTAATCAATATTTCCAGTCAATTGCCCCCCGAAATTCGCAACCATTTATTTATATTAATTAAAAGCTGCTAATTTTATCAATAGTTTTGGGGCATTTTGTCGTCGTGTATACATTATTTGAAACCAGTCTGAATCATGTGTCATCGTGTTCCTAATCCCATGTTGCTATGTTTTTTCTAATCACATGTTTGATTGCCCAGAAAATTAGTCGCGCCCCAATAAGAAAAATAGCTTTAGTTTTCTGAATTTTTGTATTTAATTGACTCAAAACTGGAAAAATTATTGGTAATCGTACTTGATATCATGTTGCAGTGGATTCAAACACTAGAGATGGGGTAGCTGACAGCACTGACGAAGGAGTCATGGTTGATTTGGAGGGAGGTGATGTTCTTGAACCATATGTGGGTATGGAATTTGAATCTGAAGAGTCTGCCAGGCAATTTTATGTAGGATATGCCAGAAGGGTGGGATTTGTGGTGCGTACTATGCAACGCCGTCGATCGGACATTGATGGGAAAACTCTTGCTCGGCGACTTGGATGTAACAAGCAGGGGTTTTCTCCTAATTATAAGTGCACAATTGGACCAGATCAGAAGCCACGGCCTAGTGCACGAGAAGGCTGCAAGGCAACAATTTTAGTGAAGATGGAGAAGTCTGGAAAATGGGTTGTTACGAGATTTGAGAAGGATCATAATCATCCTTTGGTTGTGACTGCCCATGGCTTTACAACTCCAGTGAGTTTTTTTTTTCCCACTTATATTTTATTATAATTTGCAAGTCTCTTTTCTCATATTCATTATATATTGCCCATGTTTATATTCTTGGTATTAGTTATAGAACATTTAGAATGTTGCTGAAACTGAGGCTCATGGAAAGCCATGGATTAGAGGTCTGATTTTTTTTTCAGAGGAAATGCTCTTTCTTTTAGGTGTAGCTTTGAATTTTCGGTCACCTGATGCTCTCAGAATGGGCATTAAGTGCGATGTGGCACTCACCTTGCAGCAATATATTCTTGTGCATCTAGGGTTCTTATATGTGCACTATTAACTGTTCCACTTAGTTGCATTCTTTTTTCTTTAGCAAATCCCATGCTTGGCTGAGCCGGTGTTTATGACTATGTGAAGTTAAAAGTTACATTTCTCACAATTTAGATTCTCATAAACCATAAAAATTTTGGCTTGCGATGTTAATACCTTATGCTGTATCAGTTTTACCAGATCCAACAGTGAAATCAATGTTATTTTGAAGAAATATGGAGCACAATGATATAGTAATATGATGTCAGTATGTCAATTTTTTTTTCAAGAAAAGAACTGATGTGAATATCAGTTTTACTGAAAAATATAGTCATACTACACAAGAATTTGTATTGAATCTAGTGGACATGCTAAGAGAGAGAACAGTGGACAATTTGATTTGGAAGGCTAGAGCAGCTGATTAGGGGAGAATGGGATGATTTGGAAGGCTGGAGCAGCTGATTAGGGAGGAATGGAAGATCATTGAGCTTGAATGAATAAGAACAAGAAAATATATTTAGAGGAAATAATGGCATAAAAAAGATGATCTTTTTGGCTTTTTTTTAAAATGTTGTTGTTGAGGGATGGGGAACAGATGAATTCTTCCAAAATGGAAGATGTCATTGATATGTCTTGATAACTATATGCAATAACCGGCATGGTTGAACACGTTGGCAATTGCACACAAAGATGCTAAGGGGGATAGAATTAGCATACCTTTATTTCATACAAAAGTTCAAAACACAAGTATATGTGCATAGATACTTGAAGATGGCATTGGAAAATGAATATGTTGATGAGAACCCTGAGAAGCCTTTTTGCGCCGTGGATACTTGGGGAACAACTGTTAGGATGATCTTTGCCATGAGCAATGAGTTTATTGACGCCTCATGTAAGGCACAGTTGATGAGGATGCTGAAGGTGAACATTTAACTTTATAGGTGGTAGTTTTTGATATGTAACCTTTAAGTGTGTTTTACCGGTTCAGTTTCTTACAAAAAACTGGTTTGGTCATTGACAATTGTAGGGTGACAAGGATAAAAAAATTGAAGAACTTACTCGGCAGTTGAAGATTCAAGACCAGTTATGTGCATCTTATCGAGAAAGACTACTTAAGCTTCTGTCTGATGTTGAGGAGCAAACTGAACAATTGTCTTCAAAGGTTCAAGTAATTGTTGATAATGTGAGAAAAGTTGAAGCTGAAGTACAACATCTTTCATGCCATCAATAGCCTCAGCGTTTAAAGCAAGCTGTCTGTCATGTGCATGTAAGATCTGTATATAATTTAAGTTCAATTTCAAGATTTCTTCTTCTGTACAGTATTTGCTCTTTAAATTTCTTTTTATTTGATACAGCATTTGATCTTTATATCTGGCTCTTTTACTTGGGATGGTTAAGACATATTTTCTCAACTGCCTCCTTCCAAGATTATTTAACAACTTTCAAGAATCTTACGTGAATCAAGACATAGACATGAAAATATTTGCAGATTCTTTAATTGCAGATCATCTTCTCTGTATTGGTGTGAACAAATTTATATATATATATATATCAGAAAACATTTGAATTCTTGTTAGGTGATCTGATATTGAACAAAACTGTCCGGGATCGAAAATTTATGAGAACAGAAATACCAAATGTAAATCATAAACACACAGCAACAGGAAGATGAAAAAAATAAAAACATAGAAAGGGAATATAAGAGATTTTGTACCAACAAATATATTTTACTGAATGGAGAAATGCATGGTACATATATATCTCTACTCTGTTGCAAAGTCAAATTTACATCTCTCTGTTTCTATTAATTTGAACTCAATGCTGCAAATCCACCACCTTTCATCATCTGTTTGAACTCCCTGTAGTTAACCCTACCATCCCCATCGACATCAACTTTCTTTATCATCCGCTTGCAGTCTTCTAGTGTTCTTCCTTGGTTCAAACCAAGAGAAGCTAACACGGACTTCAACTCCTCCACCGTGATGAAACCGTCCCCGTTTCGATCAAACACGTTGAAAGCTTCCCTCATGTCCTCGTCCTCATCATTGTCGTCCATTATGGATCGATACAATTCTCCAAACTCATCGATATCCACGTATCCATCCCTGTTAACATCTATCTTATCGATCATTTCAATGAGTTCTTTATCAGGAATGTATATTCCCAAGTTCCTTAATGAGTCGCTAAGCTCCTTCCTTGTAATCTTTCCATCCCCGTTTCGATCAAACATTTGAAAAACCCGACGCAGCTCCGCCTGATCCATCTCTCAACAGATCAGCTAATCCTAACAAGAAATTTGATCTACAATTGATGGTTGGATAAAGGAACGAGAGAAATAATTTTAATTGAATGGTACCCAAAAAAAAGCAACAGAGATAGAGAGAGAAAATGGGATAATAAGAAGGTTGTAGAAGTGGAAGGCCCTAGCAAAATGGTTGGTAGATTGGGTTTGGGGAATGGCAATACATAGTTGGTGAGTAAAAAGTGGAGGAAAATATGGTTTTTTTCGTAGGACACCCACCAAATTCGTGGAACCATTGATTGACAATTGGGATCTTTAATCTCAAGAGGGAGTTTAAATGATAACCAAAATGAGTTGTAAACCAAAACAAATTCAAATCTTCACAACTCTTTGGGAATACTCTAGTTTTAGAAGTCAAGGTGTCTTTGACTAGACCGATAAAAAGACTAGTCTAAATTAGTTCAGACAACCCTAACCATTAAACCAAAAAAAAAAGAGAGACAACGAAACCTTTACATTTTGACTCTTGAATTGGATGCCACAATTCTCTTGTTGAATCTCTCTTTAAGAGCAACTCTAACGGGATAGCTAAAGGAAGTATGTTAGTTATTTTAAATAGTCAATCTATAAATTTTTGCTCCAACGTGTTATCTATCTCACTCGGTATTACCCATTTTCCAATATTGGCTCGCTGAATTTGGTGACCAATTGTGGCTAGCTATTCCTCAATAGAAGGCATCGTGTTCATCGCCAAACTCATTCCACATAAGGCTCTCTCAACAGAAGACATCGTCTTCATCGCCAAGCTCAGTCCACAACATCGACTTCGTTATAGAAACTTCGTTGTTTGGTAGGCTCTCTCTCTCTCTCTCATAAACTCCATCATCTTAACTTGGGAACTCTTCATAGTTGGTGGTTCTCAGATTCTTGATCACGAACTGAGTTTAGGTTGAGAAGATCAAGAACTGAGATAGTAAAACCTCTCAAAAATCTAACAAAATCTCTCAAAAAATCTAGTAATGTGAAGCACTTTCAAGTTTTAAAGGTTAGTTAAAATTAGTTGAAGTAATTAGTTATAATAGATAGCGCGGTTAAAATGAATTTGTAAAAATAACTAGTTAAAATAGATAATATAATATTTAAATATATTTTAGGTAACTATTTTAAATAGTCTCATTGGAAATGCTCTAACATCCGACTACTCATTTCAAGTTAGTGACCAAGCACCAACTCTAAAGGCCCTGCTGTGGCAGTTGTAAGTCGTCAAAAGATCGGGTTTAACTGGGGCATTCAATTAAACAGAAATATACTTATATTTTCACTAAGAAAATATTGTGTTGTCCAAGTTTTAGTTTAAATTTTGTATCCCAAATGCATCTATACCACACTAAATAAAAAAGCTGATTTTTTGATCCCACAACAAAATATGTGTGGTGCAGACGCATTTGGACTAAGGTTTAGGCAACATAGTAGTGCTAGTACTCCAAATTAAGCTTGTATATCCTTTATCCATGTGCATACATATTTATATATTAAAACAAATCCGTAAATATCAGAGAAAGGCTCTAATCGATTTGATGTATTCCGGATTTATATATTGAGGGAATTGGTCGAAGGGTTTGAGAGATCATGCAATCTGAAACAATCATACAATTTATAAGAAAAAGCATCATCTTTAACTTTATCAGTATTTAGTGGGAGTAGATCCCATGTCACTATGACTAAGAAACTTACTAGAAATCTAGTGGTACTATTTTACTCGTCTTCGATTTCCTTTCCTTTCCTTTCTCATTGGTCGACCTCTTTTATCACACTTTTCATTATACGCTCTAGCATACAAATTCATAGAGCTTCTTGTATATCCTCTATCATGGTTAGTCTCATCAGTGAGATATCTATAAGGTCATCTCCACTACTTTCTCAACATATTAAAAGCAAACCCCAGCCTTTAGCTCAAACTTCTACAATTCAATAATTATATTTCACCTTTTTTTAAATTTTACTCACTCAAATTTAAGTTTGAGTTCGAGAGTAGAAATAAGCTCTGTTTATCACTCCCCTGACCATTTTTTATAATTGTATAGCCTTTCCAATCAAGCTTGTTCGGTTCAATTCTAGTTCAATTGTTATTAATTTTCTCATAATCGTAATTAAATTATATTGACAATTTAACAGTTTAGCTTTCAAAACCGATAAACAAATGTTTGGGTAAAATACATTGATAATCTCAAACTTTAAATTTGAAAGTTGCTTGTAGGTGAAAACATAAAAAATGACGAGGTAAAGGGATTGTGATCCACCCATGTGTCCAATAATGATCATTGGAACAAGACCATATGAACGAGTAAATTGGAATCTGAAAATCGACAATCATTCATGTAGCAAACGTAGAAATTGCCACAAAACATTCGTCTTAAAAAGACGGTTATGGGACAGAGTGCGTTTGCTTTTCTCACAACAATCTCAATCGATACATCAAACCAAATCAAATTTCACCTTCAAAAGCATTGCTCTAACAACTTTGTTACTGTTCGAAATTCTTCAGGAGCTTTAAAAACTAATAGTTCGAAGCAAAACACAATAAATGAAAGAGAAGGATGTGAAACAGATGGAATCAGAATGGAGATTAGATTAGAAAGATAAATAATGTGCCAGTAGAACAAGGGCCTGAAAAATCATCCAAGAGTTCAGATTCAGGCGAGTGATACTGGCAAATCTTTTCTATTGCAAGTTTATGTTGATTTAACTGTCTGGATCGTAGCTTGTAGAGATCCAAACAAGAAGCTGACTTGCTTAGACCATTGTTTTCACGCCGAAACACGTAAATATGACAAACTCGAGTAGAAGAAATACATGAGACAGAGAAAAAGGGAGAAGAAGAGGAGAGAGGGGTGGGGGGGAGCCGGGGGAGGAGAAGCAATTGCAGAGGCTGCGAACAACAATTAGGGTTTTGAACGGATAGAGAGCAACGGCAGGCATATAAATAGAGACAGAGAGGCGTCTCTAATAACTACTAGGGATGCTTGGTTAAATTGGTTGGATTGGATTAACCCAAAGGCTTGTAATGGGCTTGCTTGGGCGTCTGGCTTTGTGAATGTCATGCCTAGAAAATTCATTAGTAAGTTCAACTATTTTAAAAGGCAAATTTGGAGGTTAGTCCTCTTTTGTGGATTTATGGGTTTGTATTAATAAATTTATCAAAAAAATTTGTTTAATATGAAATTCATTTTTTTTCATTGTCCAAAATACACTAATAGTTTATGTTTAATTAAAAGAAATTTAAAAAACTAACAACTCTTAAATTTTAGGAATTGGACTAGCATTAAAATCTCTCTCTCTCATAGTCATCTATATTTTTATATATAGAAATTGGAATTATTCTATTTTTTATAAAAATATTAAAATTCAAACACAAAAAA